AATAGAATAGAATAGAATAGAATAGAATAGAATAGAATAGAATAGAACAGAATTTTCTGGATTATTTTTTTTTAGCTACCTTTAAGTTTGGTGAGGGAAATAGAAAGAAACCCTAGGAACAGGGGTGGGATTCTACAGGTTCGCACCTATTCGCTAGAACTGGTTGTTAACATTCTAAGCAGTTCGGAGAACCGGTTGTTAGAAGAAATTACTGGCCTAATCCTGTAAGGAAGGTAGGAAGGAAACATTCTGGTGTTGCTTACAGAAACTGCCTCTCCGTTAACCCTTATTACATTCTTGGCAGGACTAAATTTTCTGTCTCAGGAACCTCTCTGGAGTTTTCTTTCCTTCCTTTGCTGGTACTTTGCTTGTGTGGAGTGACCATTCAAAGTTTCAATGGCACTGAAAAAAGTGACTTATGACCATTTTTCACACAACTGTTGCAGCATCCCCACAGTCATGAGAGGCCAGGCGAGGAGATGCATGCCTCGATGTGAGTGATATTGAGTTGGCCACACCAAGCCAATAACATGACCAAGCCACGCGCACCAACTAAGCCACACCCACAGAACCAGTTGTTAAAAATTTTTAATCCCACCCCTGCCTAGGAAAGGTAGAGATAGTAAGTGTACAGTGATCTTGGTAATTTTTTCTAGATTCATTAGCTTTTGGGATGAAAACTATAGCAAAGCAAGGAAAAACACATTAACCTTTTTTGTGAAAAAGAAAGAAATTAAGAAATAGAGATTTCTTGTTTCAGATTTGTATCTCCTTTCTATCTTGTGTCTCTCTACACAAATACTGGATACAAACAAAACCAGAAAAAATAGATATTACGGAGAAAAAGAATAGAATCAGTGCCCATAAGTTGACTCTAGCTACGGTATCTTCATTATCACTGCTACTAAGTCAATTACTTTCACAAAGCAAGATGCATTGAGGAAGGGCATTATCCTTAGCCTACTACTACTAGATCCCTCTGTTCAAATAAACCAAGATCTAAAGAGATCAGGGTGGATGCTAAAAATTGGATTGTCCACTACTGAAGAAAATAACCTAGAAATAATACTTGATCAAATTTGATGCATTCAATCCAGGTTCTTAGATAAATTTAGTTTCTGTTAAGAGAGATAGACAACAGAGTCAGCTAATAATTTAGTGCATGGATCAATCTTTTGAATTACTCTGAAATGCCTTTCTTGCTAAGTTTAGTGGCTTCTTGCATCAAATACTACAATGATGAACTCTCATTAACTGATCGTTTTTTTCTTTCTTAATATAAGGCCTGCCAGCTGCAGAAAAACCTGGAGTCAATACAAAGGGACTTCATAATTTTCAACAGACAAAAGTAAGCATTGACCTGAAAATATAAACTTTAGCTTAGCACATCAATAAGATTACTTAGAACTAAGGAAATCTGATTACTGTTCCTTAGATAATTAGGTAGTGATTTTGGCACAAAATCCATAGGAAAGCACTGGAAGCCTGGCATTGCTGTACACTCTCATTTGGCTGTTGCTCAAACTGTTTCACTGAGGTAGGCAACCCCTATTGAATTTAAATTTTGAATATCTTCCCCAAAAAAATATAGAATGACTGAAATGGCTTTATTTTACTCTTTCCTGCCTTGTTCTCCTTCCAGAAAGAAATTGTACCTGCTATAGTTATGTAGTAGAAGTTGAACAATAACAAAGGCAGATTTTCAAACAGTAAATAATTTTCTCAATATATACCGTAGTAGGTAGTTCTTGACTTACCACCATTCATTTAGCTATTCAAAGTTACAGTGATGCCGAAAGAATTAAGGTACAGCCAGTCCTCACACTTAGGTCACAAAATCCCTGAAGTCACATAATCAACATTCAGATGCTTAGCAACTGGCATGTATTTACAATGGTTGCAGCATCCTAGGGTCATGTAATCATTTATGACCTTCCCAGGGGGATTTCTGATAAGCAGAGTCAATGGGAGAAGTCAAATTTGCTTGACAACTAGGGTTGTAAAATTGGGCACAATTCACTTAACATATTACTTAGTGACAGAAGTTCTGGTCTCAATTTTGGTCATAAGTTGAGGGCTCCCATAATTCCATTTCTTGACTTTCTGAGACCATCCTTATAAACATAGTATAACCAGCAATAAATTGTGTGATTACCTATGGGCTGGATCTTTTAAGTATTGGCTTAAGAAATTCAATTAATAGTGACTTGTAACAAGCATAGGTTCTTGAAATGGATGGTATACAGCCTTTGTAACTGGAATTATAGCAAGCCTGATAAAAGTACTGATTGTATCTTGGCTAATGCAGAAGGTGTGAGCAAGTTTGGTATCCTGGTTATGATACCGGGCTAGAAACGAGGAGACTGTGAGTTCTAGTCCTGCCTTAGGCATAAAGCCTAAGTACTAGAGTACTAGAAAGAAGGCAAAGGCAAATCATTTCTGAAGTTTTGTCAAGAAACTGAAGGGACTGGTTCAATCTAACTTGAAGGGATCCCTCTGCCCCAATGCAGATGGTAAGATTTTTGAGAACCGCTAGACTTTATTGCAACCTGATCATGGACTTTGGTTTCTCTCATATACATTTTAGGGCACGACAAGAACATAACAAAATGCAGGAGAACCTGACAGTGACACAAACCAAAGACAACGAGGAAGAAGATGACCAAAATAATAATATTTGAGATCAATGTAGTTTTTGCTCAGGTGCTGCTACCAAAAAGGGCAGGCTTTTACTTTAGCTCATGGAGCTCAGCAGATAAAATTGTACACTGCTTTCAAGATAAGGCAGATATCTTGCTAAGGAACCTTGAGACTAGATGCTGAATCTCTCTTCCCACCATAAGGACTGGTGGCCTACAATCCTGCAGAAATACTTAAGACGCAGATTATCATCTTTATGCCTATTTTTTTAAGCCACTTGACCATTAACAGGAAAGACTACTGTAAGTACAGTACTCTTTAAGTACTGTACAAAAGGCACTCCAAATAGGTTAAGTTCACTTTATAGGTATAATTTTTGTTGGTAAAATGTCAAAACTTGCTGATAATTGGGTTAAATCTACTGCCTATGGGAAAAAAGGTCTTTGCAGGGCTGCTAGAAGGGGTAGCTCCACATTTTCGTAGAGGTTTTTTAAAAAAGCGACAGACAGCTGAATTACAACTCTTGACTTAGAGTGTAATAGATTTCAAAATGAAAATCATTTTTAAAATACTTGTTACTGATTATATACATGTCACAGAAACAGAATAAGAAGAAATAATATTTTTGCTGTGGGGGTTGTACAATTATTGGTACTTTAAATAAAGTAGTTATTAAGAATATATCCAGTATATCTCATATTAGAGGTCTTTGTGTACGCCATGTGAATCAGGAAATGGAACAATGGGACATACAAATCAAGATAAATTCACTAGGGCCATTTCATAAGTAGAATTCACTACTAAGTGCAAGGGGTCATTTCATTTCTTGCAAGAGATGGATGGATCATTAAAGATGTTTAAGCCTGCAACTATCATAAAGAAATAACAAGCTGTGATGATCATTTGGTAAAAGACCATTGATGGCTGTTGGGATCAATAATAGATGCTTGGTACAGTTAATGACAAATTTTGACAAACTTTGTACCCAGTTTGTTGGGAGGAGACAGCAAAAATCCAGGCTGTTGGAAATTGACAAGAAAAGAGTATATCAATGTTACAAGTACCCAAGATTAAGCCTAATTCTTTATGGGGAGCAATTTTACATTTGACCTAATTTTGCTTTATGGCTCTAGTCCTTTTAGTCCTCCTTTCCCTGTTCTTTCTTTCCCAGACACAGCATTGTTAGACAAAAGCCTGGCTAATACAATGGAAGCAGGAAATTACATTGGCAATTATTGTACATTGTCAAGCTGAAATCTTTTTCTAAGCCTGTTTGTAGTTTGAGTTGAAATACCACTGTGAGGTCGCTTGTTATCTTGACTTTTGATTCTCTGTTGCGTTCTCTGTATGTACAAAATGTAAAAGCATTCTCAACCAATACACTCTCTTTGATTTCCAAAGCAAAGTGAATGGATTATGTCCACCTGGTATGCATTATCATTAAGAAGAGAACATGGATTGGTTCTGTATCTACTGGGATAGCCCAAGTAGGCAATTGGGTCAGTGGATGCTTTTTGAATTCTTTTAATACTAAAATTTCTTTAAAAAATTCCTCTACAAAAAAATATCTGAATGCAAAAGGGTAGCAAAAGGTGATAGACGACCTCTTTTTTCCGGATTGCTTAAAACAGGTAAATCTGTAAATGGGGAGAAATGTAAGTAGTTCATTTAGGCTTATAATTTAATAAGCTCAATAACTAGATTCTTACTGCATTTGTAGCTTTTCTCACCCCATATGGACAGATAGTTAAGCGACGGTTCTTGGGTTCCATCTTGCACTATCATTCTGTTTGGCCTGCTGAACCAGACTGAATGATCAGGGCATAGTGCTCACTTCAGATATCCCTTCCTTCCTGAAATGGATGGGTAGTTATGGTTCAAAGATAATATCTAGCTTGCGATATACAGCTTGGGACTGAGCTTCTTCCAACTGAAATGGAATGAAATTTTAATGAAAATCAAGGGAGTTCCTACTATTAAGTGGCACAAAACACACAAAAGTTTAGTGCACACCCTAAAATTGATGCAGCAACCTTTTTGTGGGGTGAGGCAAACAGAAAATCTTGACTCCTTATGTACATGTTGGGGCTCCATCTACTTCACACAATTGTTCTGCCCATTGTGGGTCCATGTCCTATATAAAAGGTAATCTTCAGTCACCCAAAGTTTATCTACATTTCATCTGGTCCCCTCATTCAGCTTTTGTCTAATTTTTCAGCTATTTGTTGCCTGGATTTAAAACGTCAGCACTCTTAGAAGTATGCGGTTGGATCATCATCTAATCCTACTCCTATGTAATATATAAAATTCATAAAATAGGTATATGTCAGCTATCTAGATTTCTCATGCAGCTTCTAAAGATAAAATCCACATTTTTCTTAAATTCTCACCCAAATTAAGGCCACTCAGTTCCAGTAAGAATATTTTACTAGGACAAAATTCAGAAAGTTAAGTGCTGCAGAGCTGAGCCCAAAAGCCTGTATACCAGCAGTGCCTGAAAAAGACAAAGCATTAGATGCAGTTAATCCTATTTTTCTTCTGATGGAAATAGGGAGATTTTACATGTCTGTTAAACATGTTAAGAAGTTGCTAATTATGTCTGCAGTTAATTAGAACATGTTAAAAGTAGCATTTCCCCTCTTTTCCATGTTATAAATTAAGTTGGTTAGCCTTTCGGTAAGGGTTTTATGCAGTGCACTAACCTTTTTCATTTCTAAAGCCTCAAAATAAAGTTGTATTAACTCTTAGATGCAGCTGTGTTCCATTGTTTCCTATTTTTTCAAAGCTAGATTGATGGATAATATGTTTTTACAGCCATAAAAACCTAGCATTTCAATGAATTTTTTTTTTTAAAAAAAACCAATGATCCACCCGTTGACCTGGTCCATAATGGAGAGTTGATACAATTTATGGCTCCATTTCCTTCCCCACTGTTTTATATCCTGTTTAGATGCCAAGTCATACTAGGATATGTTCAGATTGTCTGATTTTCAAAGATAGATGTAAATTGCAGAGATAGTTATGACCGTGATTATCAGGATGGAAAAGGTTTTAGATTCTGTTTAGATGCCATGTCACAATGGAACATATTTGAATGAACCACATCAGCAGTGATTTAGCCAGACTTTGTGAGCTCTTGAAGTAGCATGAAGGGAAAAAAATCCATGGAAAGGCAGCACTAAGCAGACCGTTGAAAGTCCAGATTTTGGCAGTTGTTAAGCCATGACAATAATGTCTAATGCATGCTTTTTGGGTAGCAAAAATACTCCCAAATTGGTCTTGTACAAGACAAGACCTGGACATTTTACATCTTTTCCTATCTGGCCCACATGAGGTCAATTAGAAATTAGAAATCAAAAATAAAATACAAAATAAAATGTATGCCAATGCATACAATACAACTACATTGCTTTTATTTTGAAGGCTACTATTTTTCAATTTACACCTGTGTGTGCACCTCTATGGCCCTATTGGTTTGGTCCTCCATTACAGTCCATTTCTTACATGGCCTATTGGGAAAATTTATTGTCCACCCCGTCCTAAATTAATCCACTCTCTACTTCAAGTATGGCCACACTATTTGGGCAGCCAGAAGCAAGAAATTAACCCAGCCTGAACCAATCCATTAGGCCTAATTGTGTTGGTTTGTTGAAACTGCACCTGCCACAGAATAAAACAGTAAGTCTAATAAATTCTGAATATAGTCAGAACATTTTAGAAAATCATTAACATCAGAACACTAGGAAAAGCAATGGAAAAGCCATAGAAATCACCAGGTCATATTTAGAGAGCATTTTATTGGAAACCTTTCATAGCTTTCATTATAAACATTTCATGTTTCATAAAGCGGTATAGCTTGCATGTTAAGCCTCACCATGTATTTTGAGTAACAATTAAACATTGTGCAATTTTCCTTAGTAAACTTTCCATATTCTTAGATATTTTTTTCAGTAAAAACTCAATTGCTAGACACAGAAAACAGTATCTCCTCCAGATAGCAGAAAAGCAGTTTGTCATATAATTGCTCCAAACATACAGCTGTTTAAGGTGAGAAAGGCTCATATTTGCTATCTGAATTTCAAAGAATACAAATACATATTTTCACCAGTTGTTCCTATCCCCATATTTTAGCAGACTGGTTGCTTTTATTTGTTATTTGGCACCACCATGTGGCAACTTGAAAAATACTCAAAAATATTCCTAGATGACACAAAAACAAAAATAGAAATCTGAATTTAATAATTTGAAGTTACCTTAAAATTGGAATTTTCTCTGAAATAAATGCATCTTTCTATTGAAGAATATTAAGAATATTAACATTTTCATTAAGTGCATTTATGACTCTACAACACCTAAGATAACAAAGGGCTTATATTATCATCTGTAAAAAATGCAAAATTGGAAATTTGTTTGGAATTAACTTTACAGAATTGCAATTTTAATTTTATATTCAAACTGTCCTGCAACTAATTAGACTGAGTGGCAATTAAACATTTTTAACTGTGTTGTTGCACATTAATTCTAGAACAATCCACAAGAGTAATATGTACCATTCACAATATAGGGATCAAAAGCAAAAAGTATTGTTCTCTTGCTGTGAAAGTAGTAGTAATTGCTTATAAAGTTACCTTGCAGAAATAACAGGAATAAGGCAGGTAGATTGGAAACACAAGTTTTTCTTTCTTTCTTTTTCGACATCTGTCCTTTGTATATAGGTCAGAGACATTGAAAGATTTTGAAGAGATGTATTTGACAATATCCAGGACAATATCCAGGTGTAGACAGTCCTAAGTGGGTGGATGAAAATCTACTGTTTTCTTGTAATAGAATGCTTTCAAGCTTTTTTTTTAAATGAACTCTTCCCTTCAAAGTGTTATTTTGCTAATGGCAGGAAGAAATGAGAGAAACTGGAAAGATGAGTAAAGTTGCTTTTACTTTGTTTGGTACTTGCTCACTTAAATCAAAGCAAGTGCTTTCCAAAATAAAACGCAATCTCTCAGAGCAAATTAAAGTGTGTATTCTATTGCGGCAAAAACAGTAATCAACAACTGATGGACAATGAAGTTATACAAAGGAGGAAAAGAAGACTTGTTCTGCAGTAGACAATCTGTTCAAACTGAAAAAGTGAAGTGGCAATTTTACTGTTTTGAGAGCTTTGCAAAATTAAAGACACCCAGGTTGCTCTTAACTTTTCCACAGTTGGAGGGAGAAATGAAAATACTGAACATATCGCCATCAAGCCCTCCTGAAGAAAGAAGATGCTACAACTTCCTTGGGCCAGTCACTAATAACTTTATGTAATGTGAAAAGAGACAGCATGGATGGGCATTAAATAAGTTAATATGAATAAGTTAATCTTAAAATAATTGGATGTGTTTTCCTGTAATCCAGAACCACGTCCTTCCCCCCCTCTATCTGCTTTGTCTCAAAGGAACGGAAATGAAAGAGACACACACTACTTTGTTGAAGCAAGTCAATTAGAAAGAAAATGTCTTTCAATTTTTTATTCAATAAAATGTACAAAGTAATAACATTTCTAACAGGAAAACGTGATACAACAGAGCCATTACAAAGATGATTGAGTTTTCCAACAGCCTCATGATTGTTTTGAGGCATCTTTGTCTTGTCAGCACTGAGTGGAAACAGAAGAACATGGACACAATACAAAGATCTACTGCCCTCCCCCCCCCCCAAACCATCTCCTACTACCTTGGCCCACTGTCTTCTGCCCCCCCCTCCCCATACTAAACTGGGTTGATTCTGCACAAGCACCCTGGCTAAAGAGCTCGCTCATGCCATTCCCTCTTTTCTCCAGCCCCTTTCTTACGAGTTCCTTGCACAAGCACTCACTGTGTACAATTACATATTTTTAACTTAATCACCTGTCAGATTTGCATGCATGTAAAAAAATGGGAAAAATATTAAGGCTATGAATAAACAAAAAAGGGAACCCGCAATATTTTTTTAAAGCTAGGTAGCGAGTAGCATTTTACGAAACATAAGGCTTGAGGCTTATTGATTCTTCAAAATCTGAATGCTCCATTGCTCTTTTTTTTTCTTAAATATCAAGGTACCATTGCTCTGTTTTCCCAAATAATGGTTTTCCATTTTCTTTCTTTTCCCAATGACTGGAAGCTTAACTTAGAGATGTTATATTGGAACGCCCCCCAGGAGGGGCTACTATACGCTTGCTGGCCGAGCGAATACCTTCATCAATCTGAGTACCTGCAAAGTATATATAACAGGGGGAGAGGAAAAAAAAATGCAGGTTAGAAGACTACTAATATGCTGCTGTTCCATTTTGAAAATACCGTATTTATTGGCGTATAACACGCACTTTTTCCCCCCTGAAAATAGGGGGCAAATGATGTATGCGTGTTATACGCCGATATAATGTTAAGAAGCCTTCGGTGAATGCTGCTGGGATCGGGGATCAAGGACACAAATGAAAGAAGGGGAGGGAGGAAGCAACCGAAGCCTGTCCTTCTCTCTGGGTCAGCTCTCTCAGTCTCTCTCTCGCTCCTCCACCAGCACAGGAAGAAACTGCTTCAAAGAAGCGGGGGGGGGGCTTTTCCTGTCGCCGCAGCTTCCCTGAAGCGCCCGTTTCTCCCCCACCCCCATCCCGTCCGCCCGCCCGCCCGCAGTGCTCCGTTCTGCCTGCCTGCCTGCCTTCGTTAATGGTTGAATCGGAACAGCTTCGGCTGAGTAAAAGAGGCGAATAGTTATTATTCTCAGCCGAAGCTGCTCCCAAACAACCAGAAACTAAGGCAGGCAGGCAGGCAGGCAGAATGGGACACTGTGGATTGAAGCGCGCGCGCGGGGTGGGAGTGGGGGTGAAATTTCCCTCTTAAAATGAAGATGCGTGTTATACGCCTGTGCGTGTTATACGCCGATAAATACGGTAATCTTCCGGAGAAATAGTCCTTAGCTTATTATGTACAAACATGCATTCAGACAAACTTGCTAGTCAGCTCTGGATATATCTGTGATCACTATGTTGAAAGAACCGGAGATGGATTATACATATAGAGGAGAATGTCGCCTCTCCTGCTGTTCTTATGAATTGGCTTCCCCACATATCATTTGTTATGTAGGAACGAAATAGAAGGAATGTGATCTATGAGTAGTCTTAGTCATATGCTCCAGAAAGCCATAGCGTGCATATACTCCTTTTTTTCTCTGTAACATTTGAGGCCTACCAATGTGGCACAGAGGCAAAGATTTTGGAGTAACTAGGGGAAAATATACCAAATATTACTGGGACTTCTCTTGTTGCCTTCTGTTGCAACCAGCGCAATCTTTTCTTACTTACCTGATAAACTAAATCCAGACTGGTGAAGATTTCTTACAGGTGGTGTCTGCCTAGTAGGAGAACCACGAGTAGAGCCTGCAGGGGTACCTCCTTTAGGTGTAGTAGTCAAATCAAACACAGGCCCATCATACATGCCCCTTGGCACAGCATGCATTTCAGCCATCTGTCAGAAGTAATGAAAGGAAGCAAAATTTACAACTGTATAATGACGCTGGACTTCCTCTTATGAGCGATAGAAGACGTTCAACATCTTGGATAGATTTTCACACAAAAATCTCTTATTTCCATGTTATACATGCACATGTTTGGAGATGGCGGAAAACAGTGTGTATGCAATTAAATATACAAAAGCCTTTTTGATGTACTTAGATGCCTATTTTGTTGTGATACCAGACATGTGTTTGGTGGTGGTGTAAAATGAAACAGGCTTATTACCACAACTTGCTAGATGAGTTTCATTCTTATTTATAAAATGGAAAACAGCTAATATAATCCAGACACTGTTGGACTTCTAAACACAGAATCGTGCAACCCCCCTGAAAGCAATACAATGAGAAGAAAATGGAAAGTTTACTGAGGAAACTAAGGGTGTAATTAGCTTACGTCTTCCACTAATGATTTTTTTCTTCTGCTCTTCCATTTCAAATGTGTCTAATTGTAAGATTTTTGAAGCACTGACGTAAAGACTAGGGATTTGTTAGTGGAGTCCCACTGCAATTTAGGAATCTCCCAAATGCTTTCAAATGATGAAATATTGCAACAGTCTGGATATTTCTCTTGTCCTTTTCCTTAACACTTTTTCAGGTAGCATTTTCATATTGCAATTCAGGTTTGTCTACCTTACCTTCCTCCTTGCTTTGATGCGCTTGTAGACATAATCTGAAAATGGGATGCCAGGAATGAATCGTCCTGTCCCTTGTGTTATATGAAGGTTGCCATCTTCAAGCATGATCTTTCCCTGACATATGACAACCAGCGGGGCTCCACGGAGCTCCATTCCTTCAAATATGTTGTATTCAGCTGCCTACAACATACAACCATCAGTATCGTTATTATGCACCTTATGGTAATCAGTGCCCAATCTTAATTCTATGTTTAGGTGAGATGAAAATCTAAATAGCTGGAGCAAAAAGGATGGACTTTATTAGGAGTTAAAAGAAATATTTAAATAATATCACATCAAACTTTTGGAAAAAAAAACTATTATCTAAGGAGGACTTTGGTTTTAAGGATTAAGAACACAAAGATTCAAGATCTTATTCTATCAGGTGAAGCATTTCCCCCCTAAATTAAGCAAGTGAGTCATGCAAAAAACCAACAACTTAAAAGTAATCAAATTGCAAATCATTTCAGACTTGAAACAGTAATTGTTTCCCAAACTGGAAACTCTTACCACTAGCGTTTTTTTTCCAAAGAGAACCCATGTAAAACAGATGTTCACTTTATTCACAAATGTTTACTATTTAACCCCTAAATTGTGAACTGAAATTCCAACAATTCACTTGTGGCAACGAATTAATTGATTCAATCTGTTAGACAATTACTGTATGAAAAAACTTACTGACTGGTGGCTTTTAGCAGATACAATTTTCACTGCATCAGGATCCCAAATGACCAGGTCACTGTCTGACCCAACAGCAATCCTGCCCTTCCTTGGGTACATGTTGAAGATCTTGGCAGCATTGGTGCTTGTCACAGCCACAAATTGGTTTTCATCCATTTTCCCTGTAGCCTGTAATAATAAATGACCCATAGAAAATAGATTGAAGCAGGCATATGTCAGGAATGGGTGGGACTGAAGTTACATCCATCCAATGTTTCTCCTATTCACATAAATGTTCTCACTTCTTTTATTTAATTACCTATCTTATGCAAGTGAATCTGGGTGGCCCACAATTAAAATAACAACCAAAAATAATCAAAACAATGAGTAAACAGAACCACTAACATGTAATTAAATATTTGTCCTAATGGGAGGGGGGTCAAGGCAGGGATTGTAACAGCACAGGCACAAAAAACTGTCCCAGGCACATCCATTCCTATATAAAGAAACCCTATCATAATTAAATATTTCAATTTTAAAGGTAGAGGAAAAGAAACAAAACCCAGACAAATACTTGCTGTCATTGTATGTAGCAGCTTCTTTTATTGTATCTTCATTTTTCATAGCTGGGTTAGTCTGAGCCAGTTGCCACAATTCACCTTTATTATTAAAGTCTCACAGGAATTTCCTGTCATATCACCCCAAGCTTAACTAAGTGGTTGCCTTCCTCCCATAGCCTCTTTTCCTTACCACTGCTTTGTCCCATATAACAGACATCCGTTCTTCAATGCCATTGGTTCCCTCTGGAATGGCGGTGAAGTTGTCTTTCCCAATCGCTTTCTGTGCTGTACTGAATGTACAATGCGCACTTCCAGAGACTTGGAGGTCCCCACTGGCTCGGAGACAAACCAAAAGGTTACGTATGCCCTTGATCCATTCAGGGTATTTTTTTTTTTGGTTCTATAATTATTTGTAATCTGTTAAAAAGTTTTAATAACCACACATAGGAGAGGCAATAGATATGGAGAATATAGTTAATGGGTTTTAAAAAAAAATTGTTCCTTGATACAAAATGATTACTATATTGAAAATCTACTCTTCACAGTATGTACCTACGTTGTGAAACAGATGCAATTAACTTGCAAGGATCATAATCAGGCAAGGGCAAACAAAAGCAAGAGATTCATAGAAATCTATCAAGGAAATAACCTTGCTTTTTAAAAAGGAAAACAGAAGTAGCAATTTTTTAACACTCAAAAAGGCAAAAAACAAAACAAAACAATTGTTACTGAACACTCCAGTATCTGAAACGTTACAATATACAGTATTTTCTACTCATGGCACAATTCTTTTAAGAAAGTTTTTCTGATGTTTTATGAAAGAAACCCTAATAGGTGGATTTAGAGCTTATTCTTGCTTTGATTTCAGTGACAAGAGATGTTAGTTGTGTGAAGTTAGAGATGACCCTATTTTTTTTTTCTGAATCCAGAACTAAGCCCCTGCATTGTAAAGAGCAGACAGAACAAATGTCTTTGGTTGTTGTGTGTGAAAGAAAATCAGGATAGAGTGAATGGGGCAAGGTTCATACATGCTGCCCACTCCCTCACCAAGTTCCAGGGCAACTTATTGCACCAGCTCCCCAACCTGCCCAGCCATCTTTCCCCCCCGCTTTCCTCACTGTTACTCGGCCAAGATGCAGGACCTCCCACTCCACTGGCTACTCTATCTTCTCGGGTCCTTCTCTCCCTCCCCACAAGTGTTGCTCCTGCTAAATATTCCAGCACTGTATATGACACCATTTTACCCTTGACCTTCCTGATGCCTTCCCTTCCTTCCCCTCAGCCAGTAATGCCTTTTCCTCTTGCTTCTTCCCTAACCATAATAATTCCTGCCCCAAATAGCGTATTTAGATCTGTGCTCAGCACAAAACTGACCCATAGCGTTTTATTTACAGATCAAAGATAAAAAGCGCAGACATTTTGGTTTGGGCACCGACTCCCTAAACTAGCTCTTCTAAACACAGAATAGTTTGTCCACAAAACATGTTGCATATCCCTTTAATCAAAAAGCTGCATTTAATTTGCCCTTTAGAGTAAATTTACTCTAGTCACACAAGCAACGTAACATGAAAGGTTTGCATCTCCATGAAAACAAACAGAAAATGAGTTTTCATATTCAAAAAAAGAGGAGCTTCAGCCTATGCTATAGTAGTTCTTTGTTAAACTGCATTTTCACTATGCTCAAGAGCATGTCAAGAGCAGGTACAATCATATTGAAATATTAAAGATCCTAAGACCTTGACTGTATCACAGAGGTACTTCATAAGATTTATTTATTTTTCCTGAAAAGGAATGACTCTGTACTTCAAAGAGCTAATAAGCAGAATGTTACCAAAATGTTTTATACTGTTTTTGCCTTGACTTCAGAATGTAGATTTTTGTTTGTATCAGAATTTCTATGTGGCAAGGAAGGACAAGGCAAAGGGCAATATCAGCACCACAGCAGAATTTTACAGCAGCCACCTTAAGGATGATATATTCAAACCTTTGTACAGCTCAGACAAAATCTAGATGGTTGTAACAAAATGCAACCACTTGAATTGCTTAAATGTTAGCAAAAGCGATGGTCAGTTCTAGAGATGATGCAGGTTTAAAGCGAATCTTTCACAAAACTTTTCATATTGGTTCCCAAACCATAAGTTCTTTCTTCTGATTCTCAGTGAAGGACACCATGTGCAGAAAGCAATTTTGAGTAGCCAGTGTTGAAAAACAGTAAAGAGAATAAAAATCAAACTACTCAAATGGCTAAAGGCATAATGAATTTTAGCAAGCTGCACATCGCATGACCATAAATATATAAGGTAAGGAACTAATCCTAACATCCATGACCCAGTTCATGACGCCAGATGAACCCGTAATGCAAATTGATTTAATATATTTGCTCTTCACTCCCAGGAGCCAACCTGAAGATCTAACAAAAGCAATCCCCAGGGAATTATTTTCTAAATCCCAGCAAGAGATGCTCTTGATCTCTTATAGCACAGCAGGATAGTGAATAATTCCTCAGTTTGACCCTTTTCACAAAATATTGGCAATAGTTTCTCACAGGAAATATGATAAAGTGGGAAGCAGAGCTGATATGACACATACCTTACACTGCAGGCTATCCCACTTGCAAAGGAGGACAGCCCATGATGGGTTTTCCTCATCTGATTTCTGCCAATTAGAATTGTGTTTAACCACTTCGGTCCCTATAAAGTGTGATTAGATAGCTTTTGCTATTAACTTGCAGATAAAGAATCAGAGGCTTTTCTAATTTTACCTCTCTATAATTCCCTATGTTGATGATTATCCCAAGCAATGAAAGTGAGATTTATTTGGAACCTGTTTATCAGAGTCACTATTTAAGTCGCCAGTGCCAAACAGAATTTTGAAGGAGATTCAGAAATAAGGATGGTTTGGGAGTTAATTAAATCTCTGACATTAAATTAGGTCAAAGAATGGCATTCCATATATACCAATAGCAGGTCAAGAATACACCTGGGAAGGTCCACACAGGATGACCCAAGTATAAGCACTCCAAGATGATTATAGGATGACTCCCTTCAAACAGACCCAGGAAACTATAGACCGATCAGCCTAACATCAATACCCGGGAGGATACTGGAAAAGATAATAAAAAAACAGATCTGCCAACATCTAGAAACAAGTAAAGTAATAACTAGCAGTCAGCACAGGTTTGTTAAGAACAGATCATGCCAAACCAATCTTATTTCATTCTTCAACATAGTGACTAAATTAGTAGACCAGCAAAATACTGTGGACATAATATATTTAGATTTCAGCAAGGCATTTGACAAAGTAGACCACAATCTACTCTTAGTAAGCTAGAAAAAAGTGGAATAGATAGCACCACAACTAGATGGACTCGCAACTGGCTGACAAACTGTACATAACGAGTAGTCCTTAATGGGTCTAAGTCTGCATGGAGGGAAGTAAGTAGTGTCTTAGGCGCAGTACTCTTCAATATCTTCATTAACGACTTAGATGAGGGAATAGAAGGGGAACTTACCAAATTTGCAGATGATACTAAGCTGACAGGAATAGCTAACACCCAAGAAGATAGGCTCAAGATCCAGATGGATCTTGACAGACTAGAACACTGGACCATATCTAACAAAATGAAATTCAATGTAGAGAAAAGTAAAGTCCTACCCTTAGGCAAGAAAAACCAAAAGTACACATATAGACTGGGTGAAACCAGGCTCAATAGCAGTAACTGTGAGAAGGATCTTGGAGTCTTAGTAGACAACCAGCTAAATATGAGCCAGCAGTGTGCAGCAGCAGCCAAAAAAGCTAATGCAATCCTAAGTTGTATTAACAAAGGGATACAATCAAGATCAGGGGAAGTACTAATACCACTCTATAAAGCCTTAGTAAGACCACGCCTAGAGTTTTGTTCACATTATAAAAAAGATGTTGAGACTCTGGAAAAAGTACAGAGAAGAGCAACCAGGATGATTAGGGGACTGGAGACTGAAACATACAAAGAACGGTTACAGGAACTGGGCTTGGCTAGTCTAGTAAAGAGAAGGACCAGGGGAGACATGATAGCAGTCTTCCAATATTTGAGGGGCTGCCAGAGGGAGGAAGGGGTCAAGCTATTTTCTAAAGCACCTGCAAGCCAGACAAGGAATAATGGATGGAAACTGAACAAGGAGAGATTTAACCTGGAAATAAGGAGAAACTTTCTGACAGTGAGAACAATCAACCAATGGAACACCTTGCCCTCAGAAGTTGTAGGAGCGCCATCTCACTTGAGACTTTCAAGTGGAGTTTGGACTGCCATTTGTCAGAAATGGTGTAGGGTCTCCCGCTTGGGCGGGGAGTTGGACTAGATGACCTACAAGGTCCCTTCCAACTCTGATTATCTGTTATAAATGTAGACTTGCCATTGCTGTGGCCATACATTTGCAGACGCCATTGTGGGATTGAAGAGAAAAAGGCAAAATATCAACAAAATAGTGCACAATAAAGTAGAGGTATTGGGATTGGTATATTATATGATATGATAAAGATGTGAAAATTAGCATTATACAAATCAGCAGAAGTAAACCATAGATTCAGAAACTATAGCAAATGTAATGGTCCCAAACAGAGAGGTCTGGAAAGAACTCAAGTAATGCGAGTTCAAATATATTCAATACATTTATTTTTCTTAGGAACAGGGAAGTGCCTGAATAGAACTCAATAGAAAGCTTGTTATCAGAAGCCAATTCAATGCCTTCCACGTATCTCCTGCTGGAAATATTATAGAAGGAGCATATGATTCAGTAGAGACAGTGAATTGGAGAATTCAGAATGGTAGCTTTTGAAATAATGGAAATGTCCCGTGATTGTGGCAAACAAACGAAACAAACGAAAGGCACAAATACATGGAGAAAGCAATAAAATATCTGAGTTAATTGCTACTAATCTGAGGTATCCACAACATGTTCTTCCTTCCTAAGGCATAACTGTGTTCACCAGAGCATGCAAGCTTGGCCCCTCAGCATTGCATCTGGAAAAAACAATGTTCAAAACAGTCCAGTCCAGATCATTTGCAAAAGTTCAGCTTCAAAGTTGAAAGTATGTTTAGAAAAATTAGGGGGGGGGGGGAAGGGATGGCAAAAGGAGTATTTTGGAGACACTGTAATGAATGCACTACCACTTGTGAAGATCAATGAAAAACTGAAGTCATTTGTGGAAGTACATATGAAAATGAAGAGAGTGAGATTCTAACCAACTATACTGAATTCTTGTATAGCCATAGAATTCCATCCATGTGGATTACAGAGACAGCTGAGCAGAAAAGCAAGACTTTAATCTAGCAGTCATTTAATTTTGTTTAAAAATCCATGTATTTATTTAAAAACCAAATAATAATTCATTTTGTCTTCTTATTAACATCACCTTTCACAACAATGTGAAGTGACAGCTGCCAGTTCTTTAGGTAGTGTTGGCTTTCATACACATCACATCCTTCTCAAGAGGTTGTAATGTTTAGGTGCAGCCTTCTGCAATTGACAGTTAGAAATTTTGTCAATTCAGATATTCTAAGTGCCATCCAAGAGTTTTTGGCATGGTACCCAGCAAGCTAATAACTAATGGGACCACCATGGCCTGTTCATGTCCTTTCAAGTTCATTTTTCAGATCGTGATACTTTGTGAACTTCTCCAATTTTTATTATATGTGGGTAATCTAAAGTGGTATTACCTACACGTTAATCTAAAATGGTGGAAATTTAATAATTCAGATATTAACCAACAATGTAAAATTATTAAGGTAGTGTCTAAGAATTATCTTTATTGACAGCAGGGGGCAGCAAAAATAGTAGTAATGGGTTTAAAGGATTATGCAGAGATTTTTATGGAAACTTCCTGTTTCCTGACATCTGTTAGTTGCCAGGGAATCAAGAACTGAAAGGATGTACTATAATTAAGAAAGGGAAAAAATCCTTAAAGCCTTGTCTAAACAACAGGAAAATATAGAAAATCTTTGGCTTCCAGATGGACTGTTTGTGAAAAGAATGATTAAGTCTGGATCTCTAAACCAAAATTTTAACCCAACAATAATCTTAATCTTCTCTTAATAATTTGGCACAAAATACATTTTCCTGCACAGAGAAATCTGTGTCAGTTAGACCATTTTACTAAATATAAACAGAAGCAAACATTTCTGTCATGCAAACCTCCTGAGGGCTGTACCAAAACAGAGAAAAACAGAATACTTATCAGAAGCAGATGTAGTTTACTTCTGATGCGTTATCTAAATAAAATAAATAAACTATGCATAGAACTCAGTCAGACACAGGAATACATAAAATGTCCCATGGTTCCCAAGTAACCATGGCCAAGGTTCCATGTGTAATTCCTATTACCAGAATAGCTATTTTTACTATGATAAGTTTTAGTTCTGTTCAAAGCATGCAATGTATTTTAGTTGCCCATTTAATTCTGTGCTAGAATGCATTTCAGTAAAGTATTATTCTGTTTTAACGGTTTATTTTGCTTTTTAGTGATGTAGTGTTGGTAAGGTGCTGGACTGCAACTGGGGAGACACAGGATCAAATCCATTTTCAATGAAGGAACCTCACTGGATGACTTTGGGTCAGTCACTCTGTCTCAGTCTCAGTTATACTCTGTCTCAGTATAACCTACAGTACATAATAATTGTTAGTGAGGTTGTTGCAAAGGGAAAATCGCTGTCAATTCTTGAAGACCAAATCCAAAATAATTCTTTCTCATTAATGGATCATTTGTGGGGTTCACCATTGTCCTCCATTTTAGATGTATTATATTACTCTTTCATATCTAAATATACAGCCAAGCTTTGTAACCAGGGACTTCTGTTTGTATGCTATTGCCAAACTCTAGGCAGCAATACATTTTATTTTAATTATTTTAAAGAAAGGTAGCAAAAAGAGGGCTTTCCCTTTCCTTGCCATTACCAACCTAGCCAATAAGGAGTTGATGTAATCTGGGGTTGTTGGATCTGGACTCAGAGGTGGGGATGTCACAAATGCAGCAGCTTTCGCCCAGTTCTTACTCCAGTAATGGGTTCCATCTGTTCCAAGACTGGCTGTGATTGGCTCACCAAACACAACATTGCCTGGTGATTGTCATGGGGGAAAAAAGGGACAAAGAACATGCATTACAGAGAAGGGAGCAGGAAACCAGATAACATATCTTTTTTAAAAGGCAGCAATCATTTATTTCTAATGCCCCCTTTGGTTCTGTTGATCCAAACCATGACAACCAGATTTCAAAGCCAAGGAAAAAGCACCTGGGCTTAAAAACTGATGTCTTCCAGTTTGCTTTTAAACCCAGATCAGATAAATTTTCGCCTTTAAAGAAAATGAGTTACAGACTGCTTTAAAGGAATACTCTTAGCATGAGACCTGCTAAGTTGAACATTCTTTGTCAGGTAACTAGATACATCTGGGAACCTCACAAATAAAAATGTAACTGGAACTAAGACTTACAAAAGTGACTCTACCGTATTCTTTCTTACCCAACTTAATACTCCTCCAAATACAGTAATTTTTTTTTCACTTCTTCTTACCAACCTTACTGCTTGGCAGCTTCCAAGATAATGAAAAGTTTTTGCATCTTTTGAACAATTTCAGAGATATTCTTTCTCGCTTTTACTTATGCTCCTGTTCTGTAGAATGGCAATGTGCACTTAATTCAGAATGCATTTTGGGCTATCAGGTTGAGTGTACACTCTAAGCCAGAAAATAAGATAGCGTTGAAGATACAAAGCTAAAGCAACATACCCTTTTTCCGGGCTTGTGATATCAGATCAGCTGCACTCTTGCTCATGACTTTAGTCACATACAAGGGGCAGTTGGTCTGGCTGGCAATGGTAATGGCACGGAAGACAGCTTCAGCCTCCAACTGAAAAAGAGGTTAGTGAGTTAATACACATTCAAATAGGACACAGTGAATTCATGAATTCATTTTACTGTGTAATATTGTGTTTTCAAGCACATAAAAAGACCTCCAAAATTACCCATAACATATCATTTGTATATAAAGCAGACATGATAAAAACAGGTCCAAAATTTTTCTAGCACAGTATCAATCTGTACTGTTTCATTTTCTCCATAAACTTGGCACTACCTTGGTCCATCTGTGCATTTTGTAATACAAACACAATGCATTACTATATACAGCAGAAGATTTTGGCTTTGAAGGTGACATTGTATTTTTACATAATTAGCTGTATGAATCTTGAATGTACTACAGAGTCATTAAATGAGTTTGTTGGAGGGAGAAATCAAGGGTCCATAAAAGTGCCAGCTATTTAAATCTGGGAATGCAGTGAAACATTTATGAAGATGAAAAAGTTTATTATGTTTAGAGAAATTGCATAATAAAGTGAATGGGCCTGAATTACGGAATGATATATGGAGTTGAAGGTTGGCTCTTGTACGCAACAGAGCAATCCACAATGGAAGCAAAAGGATAGGTGAGAATAAATTAAATATTCAGTATATCGTTTCATACTAGGCAAGCAGCAAAGCAAGACAGTTTAACTTCCCTGTGGTTGTTTTGCACTTATATGGCTTAAAGTATCAGAAAAGTTTCTCTTAACAAAGTGTTGTTAGAAAATATAAACATGTGAACCCTTCTGCAGAAAATGTCATGTAATCTGAAAATCAAAATTTATTCTCGTGTATTTTAGGCTGACTGTATGACATAACAAGGAGAAAGTATTTAAACATTACAGTGTCACTGAAAATGGAGTACGAGTTATACATAAATTATGAATAAGCAAATGAACTTATGTATATTGGCCTATGGACATGGTGGAACAAGAATGGAAAGGTACAGACAGGTATAGTTAAGGAGGTTGGTGGGTTTAGATTTTTCTTTCATATCCTCTTATCTTCTGCTTTTTAATTTATTTTGCCTATTTCTTTTCCCCCCAGCATTTTCCATAAGGTTGCTTATCTTTCAGAGAATAAGTGATGGACAAGAGTTTATATATGAAAAACAGTATGAAAAATGAAAAAGGTATTATAAATGTAAACCTTGATCAACTGGAATAATATTAATTAATCTTTAATGTAACAGAACAAATTAATGATTGTTTTTCTTTCTGACATCTTATTACTATATTAATACTTCTCTACTGGGCACACATTTCAATCAAACAAGTAATTATTTTTAAACAGCCTTTGCCAAGATGATGAAGACCAAAGTGTTAAGCTCCCACTGCTAAAATTGCTAACCTGGAAAAAACTGGATTAAAATACTTCTGCAGTAATAAATTATGTACCTTGATTATTATTCTGTCAGAGACCGGGGAAATATTTGCACCTGGGTGTTTATATCTGTTGAGATTGTAAGGATTTTTCTACCCTTCCTGTGAGCCTGTTGGCCACTTTGGCTTTCCATGACACAGTTGGTCTGTACTGCTAGAACTTTCAACACTTCATCAAGTGAGCTAACTTTGGAACATTACATCATAGACTAGTCAGCCTGACTTCAATGGAAATTGCCTTCTAGCTGTCCAAGTATTTAGCAGAACAGGCTAAATACTGTTACACAGGAAAGGGGAAAAACAAACAAAGAGTATCCTGAAAGGACACTGTCCTAAACACACAAATTATTCAAGGCTTCAAAAATGTGGAGTTATTAAAAAGTTTAGCTTATAGCTCATGCAGCTGTATATGAAGACTATGTTTTTCTCTCTTGAAGCATGAACTCAAAAACATGGTTTCCTTCCCTAACACAATCCAAGCATCCCAGACACATTTCATATTGAATGTGAAAGGCTTTGCCAAGAAAATCATATTTACGTGTCCTGTTTTGATTCTGTGTATATTGCACCATGGAACTGAGAAAGTGAAAATTTAGCATCTGTCTGTTTAGAAGTATTAGAAAATGTATCATATACACACTTCAAAAGTCTGGAATTCCATTGATGAAGGCAACTTGAACTAGACAGTCAAGGATGGAATTTTATGATATATATGGTTTTTTTCTGAATCATTTTATTGTGATTTATCACAACAATGTTCATTTCAACTTTAATATGTTTGTATTATGCATGTGTGCATCAATGTGTGTCTGCATCCATCTTCAAGTCAGTGTTGACTTCGGGCAACTGTCAGGACTAATCCTGAAGCTTTCTTGTTAATATTTCAGAAGTAGTTTGCCATTGCCTATTTCCTGGGCTAAGAAAGGACTGGCCTCACTCAACTGGTTTTGTGTCTAAGGCACCACTAGAACTCATAGTCTCCCTGTTTCTAGCCTGATGCCTTAACCCAGTGGTTCCCAAAGTGGGCGGTACCGTCCCCTGGGGAGGCGGAGGGATGCCTTAGGTGGGCGTTGAGAGGCAGGGGGGCTGGCAGGGGGCTGCTAAGAGGCGGCGGGGGGAGCTGGAGGTGAGCGGCAGGGCACAATTCATGGGTGAGAAAAAATGCCGCTGCCACCGCATTTGAGGCAAGGGCCCGCAGGATCATCCCATTGACTTGCATGCTCTGGTGCAAGGAGCTCTGCCCACAAACGCAGCATTGGGAAAGGAGAGCAAAGCCAGAGTGGCTTTGCTCTCCTTTTCAAAAATCCCGCCGTCACTTTGTTTGGGGCGGCGGGGCAGCGCCCCAAACGCAGCATTGGGAAAGAAAAGCAAAGCCAGAGTGGCTTTGCTTTCCTTTTCAAATATACCACTGCCGTGTTTGGGGCAGCGGGGCGGTGCCCTGAACGCAGCGTTGTGAAAGGAGAGCAAAGCCAGAGGGGTTTTGCTCTCCTTTTCAAACATCCCACCGCCGTGTTCAGGGCGGTGGGGCGGCGCCCCAAATGCAGCGTTGGGAATAGGAGAGCAAAGCCTTTTCAAACATCCCACTGCTGTGTTTGGGGCAGCGGGGCAACACCCCGAACACAGCGAGAACCACTTGTATTTGGTTTGCCAGTCACCAAACCACACTCACCCAGTCATGTGACCAGCAAGCCACACCACCAGTCATGTAACCAGAAAACCATGCCCACCCAGTCATGTGACCAGCAAGCCACACCCACCCAATCACGTGACCAGCAAACCACACCCTCAAATTAGGCCATGCCCACAGAAATTTGTATCCCGCCCCTGGGTGGGGGGCATTGAGGATGAGTTTGTAGCACCAAGGGGGCGGTGGACTGAAAAAGTTTGGGAACCACTGCCTTAACCATTACATCAAATTACTCTCATTTCAACTGGCCACATAGAAATGCAAACAAGTAAAATAATAATAATACCATGACTCTCATATTGGACATACTTTCTGGTGAAAGTAATCATTGCAACAATGGTTCTAGGTAATGATATTACATATGATTATCAGTCAACGGGGCAACATACATAGTGGAATGCTACAACTGCAATTGTTTTATTAAGCATGTAGACCATGGGGGTCAAACTTGCGGTGTCACTTTGCCATCACGTGATGCTTCGTGATGTTTTTCCCATTTGCAGAGCTGGGGTGGGCGTGGCCTGTGCATGATGCATCCGACCTGTGGGCCACCAGTTTGACACCTGATGTAGACATATTCATACAGAACATGATAGCACAGAAGTAAGCTGTGACATCACTATGTGGCCTAGTTATTTAAATCAGTGAGATATTTACTTGGAAAGCTAAAGAACTTGAAAACATATAGATATTTAAATAAATATATATTAAAAAACCTTACAAATCACTTGTACTGAAATCCAGGATATTTTTCTACCCTACTTTTTTCCTTCTTAGGTTTTAGTTAAGATAGGCATCAGAGAAAATGTTCAACTCTACCTTCCAATTACTTATTACAATGTGTCTTTCACCTAGCATCTTAAATGTACCCAAGAATGTACATAATATTTTGTGTAGCATTTCTCACAAGCAAAAGTATGTATCTTCTACATGACTATTATTAGGCAATGATTTCATTTCAAAACACCTCTTATATACCAGCAGTCTCTTGCTAATTAATACAATTGTTTCACAGATAAGATTTGAATTAGGCATAAGTATGCTACTAAAGAGATTCAGCATTCCTAAAATGGCAACAGTACCACATAAACCATTAAACATTAATAATAATTAATCTGACATTTTTATTTCTACTGCATGAATTTTGATTTAAATGAACTATGGATCTTAAACTGAGTTGAGAATTTAGCGAATTTCTAGCAACTGTTTTTGCAAATATGTGCTCATGGATTTTTTTTAAATTACTATCTTAGCTTTTAACTTTTATCTTTAACTTTTAAGCCCACTTCTCAAATCTAAGCTTTCTACTGCTCACAGCTATGCGTAAAGAAGCTTTATGAACAGATAATGGGATGTGCAGTATATATAGATCCTGTGACGCTATTTGGACGCTATTCTGATTCATGTCTTTAACAGGAATTTGCACCATCTAGTTCTTCATATAGTTGTAAATTTGCATTTAAAAATGCACGCATATAGAACATATAATTTCCAACCGAATTGTATAAACTATGCTTTTTCATTCAACAGCAATATATTACCTCTTCTGGTCTACTTAGCACATGACCCTCCGGGCCAGTTATTCCCATCTCCAACATCCTAGCTTGCTCCTAAAGAATACAACAACATTGAGACCTGAATCAGAAACAAGTTTAATTATTTCTTGATTTAATTTAATTGCTAAATGTATTGTGAATAATTTAATACAAATGTTTTACATCTACCTTTCTTTCTCTTAGTATTACGTTTTGAACATTTGAATAAGACATTTGAAAAAATGATTTAAATATATACATATCATTAAACTTTGCATAGGTAGCATTATCTATAGTTGGTACAAATTAGCTTTTAGGAAATCGTATGTAGAGTGCAACATTAAAAGCGCGACTCAAGTGTAGCAAAGAAGCTTCCAAACATTAGTACAGGTAATCCTCGACTTATGACAATTGAGCCCAACATATCTGTTGTTAAGTAAAACGTTTCTTAAGTGAGTTTTGCCCTATTTTACAACTCTTCTTGCCACAATTGTTAAGTGAATCATTGAAATTGTTAAGTTAATAATACGCTTTATTAAGTGAATCTGGTTTCCCCATTGACTTTGCTCGTCAGACGGTCACAGAAGGTGATCACGTAATCCCAGGTCACTGCAACCATCATAAATAAGCATCCAAATTTTGATCACATGACCACAGGAATTGCGGCAACAGTCATAAGTGTGAAAAACGGCCGTAAGTCACTTTTTTCAATCCCATTGTAATTTTGAACAGTCATTGAATGAACTGTTGTAGTCAAGGGCTACCAGAAAAAAAAGATCTGTAGATGGTCAAGCTTGTGTATCTAGGAAGTAGACAGGCCTACAGCATTAACACAAGAGACTGCTGCATCTCCATTAGTTATTGGCAGTGAGAAAGCCCAATTGAAACAAGGATATTTGAACCAGAACGGATATAAAATTAAAGCTAAGCATACTGCCACGCAAGCATTTTTATTAGCCAGTGCCGACTGAAGGACTCACATGACTTGTCAAATAAATCTCTTCAGGCGTCCCTCGATTGCCAACCACAATTTCCACTGCTAAGCAAGACGGCTGTTAAGTGAGCCGCACCTGATTTTACAGCTTTGTTTGCCATGGTGATTAAGTGAATCGCTGCAGTTATTATTAAGTAAAGTAACGCAATTCCATTAAGTAAATCCGGCTTCCCTCTTTGATTCTGCTTGTTGGAAGCCTACTGGGAAGATCACAAATGGCAATCAAAGGATTCCAGGATGCTGTAACCCACCATAAATATATGCCAGTTGCTAAGGACCTGAATTTTGATCATGTGACTGAAGGGATGCTGTGGTGATTGTTATGTGGGTTATAAGGCACTTTTTTTCAATGTTGTTGTAACTTTGAACAGTCACTAAACAGTTGTTATCTTGAGGGCTACCCATACAATATGTCATAAGGTATTCTTTCCATATAGTACAATATTTCCATAGATATCTTTATAGTGTTGCTTGCATGTTTATTTATTTATTTCATATGGTGTAGCACAATGCAGCATCAGTGCATAAAATTTGCAGAAACCACATATCAAGTGTGTACATGCTTGCTTGCTGTTATTTGATCAAGAAAAGGCAGAACATTACCTGTGCAATTATGTCCCCATTTTCAGCATGAACCTGAGCTACTGCACCAAGTTCTCCTAAGAAATTAAATATCTCATACAGCTGAAAAACAGGATGTAATAAGAAAGGCAGTATTAAGAAGTTGAAGATTTATCTCTGTACTGTAATGTCTCAATTGAACACATTTTGTTAAAATTGTGGGCTTTTAATTAGTTAACCATTCAATTCCTGCTAGTAATAATAATAAAAAGGAAACTGACATTTATCCAATGTACTACTGGCTAAAGCTTATAATTTCTAATTACAATTATATTATGTGCAGCATCTGCTTCATAATTAGATGTTCTGAAAAAGACAAAAAAATTAAAAACATGATGATTAAATAATTGGGATTGCAATTTGTTAAGGACTGGGTATAGACTGCAACCCCAAAACCAATAATCTTACTTAAAATTGGTCCTTGAAACAAATTTTGGAACCAGTTTTCTGTTCCTACTTCTCTAATTAATAAATGGAGCTTGGAGGGGGAGCTGTTGATCTTTTTTAATCAAGTCCTTCTTTAAAAACTTTAAAGTTATTTACAAAATAACCATGTAATACTGCAAATTATCATCGAAGTTCATCTTCTGAGAGTGCCTATTCCACTGAAGGTAGAAGTATCTGTGGTTACATCTTACAGCTCATTCTTGTTATATGGCTAGAAACCTGTCTATTAAATATCTAAAAATCTTACAGATTTTAATTGGAGGGCTTGGGGAAACAACAAAATAGTTTTGGCATACATCATATTTTTATTAAGGAAAGTTAAATAATTGGAGCTATCACACTCTGATAAAGTTATGCTGCCTTTGAATATGGGAGTATGATTTCTAATAGCCAAGTAATATGTCTTTTTATCAAATGTGGCTACAAACCTCCCACGAGTGTTCCAGGATTATACACATCATAGTGTGAGTTCCTTTTTGTTTATTTCTAATTCCATTTCTCTTGTTTTTAATGTCACATGGGTTCACGAAGATAACACACACCCTTTCCAAATTAAAATACACTAAAAATCTGAATAATTTTTACCAGATAAATATTGAATTTTATACATAGTACAATAATCCATTTCTTACCTCTGTGTTTGACATCTGGTACAAATCTTTATAGGCCATGTAAACCAGGAAAGAGTTAACTCCTAAAGTAAGGAAAGATTATACCACACAAGCATTGGCAAAGAAGTTATACAAAAATATTCTGTAAAGAGTGGAATGGAAGTCTTTTCAAAAATATCTTAAATGTAATGAAATATATTGCCCACACTCTGGAAAACAATGAAGGGTGTTGTTGAATCCACTGCTCCTTATTTTATTATTTCTTATAAGATTATAGAAATAATCCCCACATGATGAGGATAGCTTCTGAAAAGATATCCACCATTGCATATTATGGTAAACTATGACTTATGTTTATGCAAAGAATCTATCTGTTCCTTTGAGAAGTTCATAATGTTGGGAAAAGGGAAGAAAAGAGAAAAGAGGAAAATCAATGGTGATGGGTGTTTTATTGGTAAAGAACCAGATTGGTGAAAGAGCATTCTAGACAAGATTATTAAGAGTCTAGTCTGACTTGATGACAATAATTTAGCTAATAGGTTGCTCAAGGATGCTTTCCAAAGCACTGAGTCTATATGTCCTCAGTTCTGTTCTCCTCAGACAATTAGGGAGGAGGTAAAACAGACATCATAGTTTCTGGTGTAATAATTCCAGGTCAGCCAGGAATTGTAATTTAAAATAAACTTTAGAATTCATTGACAGCCAATCAGCTAATATAAAATAGCCAATGGTTCAGTTAGTCAGTAAATTATTTTTTTAATAACCTTAAAAAACAACAACACCTTGTGGTTACTATTTACAAAGCTGCATATGAAAAGATATAGTGATTTGGAAGAAAGAATGTCAAAAGTGATGGAGGAATGCATTTGCAGTACTAAACAATTGATATTGCTCTTTGTAAATAATTTTTTGCACTTCATATATTATGAAGCTAACTTCACAATGAAAAATAGCTTTCATTTTTAAAATGAAAAAACTGCATTCGTGCAATTCAGATTTAACTGCAACTAAATCTGAATTGCAAGGTTTCAGTCCCTAAGTGACCCATCCAGAACTCTTGTTACAATGGACTGAAGATGAATGACAAATAAAGAGCTAAAAAAATTGTTGCAAAATTTATTCTGCACACACACACGCATACTAATAAATAGCAATTAAGTTTCACTCAAAGAAAGCATTAAGAAAACTGGTTGGAACAGTGTGTTAGTTTAAGTTCATTGTTGTATAACCTATTACTCAAGCAGAATAGCAATTAGAATAAGAAAAACCAAGAAGAGATCTTGGAACTAACAGACCTTTCTCTTTGATGAGTGTCTGTACTTCCTGCTTGACGCTGTCATTCCAGTGGGTGATGTCCACATGCAAGGAGTAGTCACAGCAAGCCTTCCCATCACCCCATTCTCTCCATTTCTCATAAGCTTCTACCAGGCTTGATTCAGTTTCAGGTACAACATGGTCAACTGTGAAAAAGAGTAAGCTCTAGCAGAGAATCAAGAACATATGTCCTTTCCTATCGAGTTTGTCTGCTAAACTATGTCCTCAGTATCCCAAATCAAATGTCCATTTATTGTGAAACATTGTTATTCACAATAATTAAAATACTCTTCCCGGGTAAAGGGTTAAAAAAAACCTAAATACTTCAGAGATCAGCTAATTAAATTGTTATGGCTTTAGTGTCTTATTTAGAATATTGCTTTTGCTGTCTGAAGAACAGAAGAGGCATTATTTTAGTCCTCATTCTTGTATAAAAATAAGAAAATCGTTCAGGTCAATTTAGTGAAACTCATTAATTCACTAATTTAAGAGAGGGGAAAATATTTGAAGTTAGAAAGTTTACAACTATGCAGGATAAACTTTGCATTTTTCATATTTATTAGCTTTTATGCAGCAAACAAAGCAAGGGTACATCTTATTCCTTGTTATTTCTCACATAAAATGAATTTGCTGGACAGGGATTAAAAAAAAATAAGGCTCTGATTTAGTATTAGAAATATTCCAGACGCTTCTAGTAGATTTTTGTTGAGATTCCAGCCTCTCTATCATCTACAAATATCTATTTTAAAAATGATGTGTAGCTTCCTAAGATGCAATCTATAAACACTTATTGCTGTGATTGGTGTAATCTTCAGTTTTCATTTCAGACTTTTCATATGGCAAAAACCTTCAACAAGCATTAAAAATGGCAAACCAAGAACTATTGCATTAACTGGTTATAACTGAAATTTATCCTGATTTTTTTTTTTTTAGTAAATCAAAAGGCTTGAGCAAAAAGGCTAAGCTGTGAACTAGACTTCGGTGGTGGTAAAATTACTTAAAGTGTGAGTCAAGAATTTCTCTTCCATTTTAGTTTGCTCTGTTTGTTCCAAGACATATTTGGCCAAGTGCCTATTTCTGTCTGCAGCCATTTACTATTTGTTAAGGACCACAGCAGCTGAAATGAAGACATGGGCAGAAACATTTATTAGCTATTCTGAACTATTTAAGGTTTTCCTTATAGATTTTAACCAAAATATGCAGATCTCTCACTTTTCAAGCACAAAATTCAAGTAATCCAAATCAGTGTTTCCAACCTGGAAATTCAGGTCATAAAATATATGGAGGACATGAGGACACCAAACTTCTCAGAAAGACTAAGCATTCTATATATAGCATTTGTAATATATATTCCACTTCTTTCACTTCTCTGAATGAACTTGATATACTTTCAGATAAGCTAAAAAATTTAGGTATCAAAAATTGATTTCAGCTATTTACCAATGGGAGTATCCTTGATATATAGTATACAATAATACTTTTTAAAAGTATTTAAACAAAATAGCATGAAAACTGCAGCGCGTGCAGGTAAACCAATTGTAAAACGGCATATGAAAATTTTGAGAGCTTATACCCAGATGGTGCATTTTGGTGAAAAAATTTGAAGCTCCCTATATAAATGGTACTAACACTAGTCATTGCATAATGTGTGTGTATATACACATTATATATATAAAGTATATATTACAATGTATTATGTAAAATATATGGAGGGAAACTGCAGTTTATTCTAAAGGATGGCCACGTACATGACTAAATACTGTATCAACTGAAGACAATGGCCAATTTCTAGACTTCTGAAGAAGCTTTCAGAAAATTCTTTCCCATGGAGAAAGTGTATCAGATACTAAAAAGAGTTAGAGGTCCATATCACATACCAAAAATTTAACTTGCATAATAATAAAAATGGGACTACTATTTAACAACATTGAAAATGGATAGAAAAATCCTCCTTGCACTTACTGATCATGGTAGTCCCACCCGCCAGGGCTGCTTTTGTCCCCTGGAAGAAGTCATCCACAGCTGTCATTCCTTTGTATGGCATCTGCAAGTGAGTGTGGACATCAATTCCACCAGGGATAACCATCCTCCCATTGGCTTCTATGGTCTTCACTCCTCCAGGAACTATTAAGTTGTCACCAATTTGCCTGATTGGGGAAAAAAATTAAAATAGGCACATCCATTTATAATGAAAAATGAAAACCCTCCATAGGATTTAAGCTTCACTTTCTCATGTATTTGTTATTTGCCTCAGTTTGTTTCATTCAAATATTTATTTTTAATTTATTATTAAATGCACACCTTTGTGTACACTCACAAGGCAGCTTACAAAAACATAAAACAATCAAAATATAAAATATAACCCTTAAATTAACAGAAATAAAAATGTAACACTGATATCATTAAAACAATGAACTTTTAAAAGTTTCTTGATAGTGAGTCAGTTTTGACAACAGGTTATCTGAGGCTCACCTCTCCCTAATTATATCAGCCCACCTCATTAGGGGTCCTTGGTGCTCTCTTCAACTCTGAGCCACAAATATTCTCCTTTACTGGCACCCTATTAGTTCCAGCAGAGAAGGCATGCTGTGGATACTATGTGCCAGGGACCTACATTTGGAGGGTCCCAGAGGGCGGGCCTTCTCTATCCTGTGCTCATCCTATTGAATAATCTCCCCACCCTCAAAATTAAATTAGCCTCATCCCTCTTAAATGGCCTTGGAAGTCCCTCAATATTTGGTTATATCATCAGGCCTGGGAGCCCCAAAGACTTATCTAGATGGCTCCATAATTGAGGAAATATATTTTCTCTCTGCCAGGGGGTTGTGTATATATCACTTTTAATTAGCTTTAAAAAATTTAATGTTAACTTTTTGTTTTTTTAAATGCCGGTCTGTATGTTATGATTTTATTTAATTATTGTACAATTGCCCAGAATCCCTTCTTGTGAGACAGACAGTTTCATACATTTGTTTGATAAATCAATGAATAAATAAATACATAAAATTATTACTTTGCAGAAGCTCAAAGGTATTTCATTCATGCTCTATTCTACAAACAATGAGTCTCTTCAAGAAAAAGAATGTACTTTATTAAATAAAAATATGAACTTTTTTTAACCAGAGGCATTCTGTATATCGCAACAATAATGTTATACATTAGGCTGAGATCCAACAAAATCAGCAGATAAAAAGCAACAAGATGAAAGTTACTATATGAACTAAAAGAAACTATATGAAAGTTACTGGCCAATAAGCGTTTCTCCTGCTTCTCATGTCTCAAAGAAAAGCAACAGGGAAAAATGTTATGGAATGGTTTGCTTCGGATTTCCCTAAATTGCAAAGTTGTGGGAGCAGGTAAAGGTTCAAGTAAGAAGGCTAGAAGGACCATGTCAGATTGATGTCAGGAGTCTTGAAATGTATTATAAAAGCAATGCAAATGCCAACTGCTCCTCCCTTGGAGAAGCAACTGGTTGTCAGTCTGTTTCAGCACACAGGTGGGAAAAAGATTTGAACTATGGAATTGATATGAATTCAAGCCTGTTGGCAGTTGCAGTTTTTCTGATATAATTTCAATTTTTCTAGTATCTGCAATACAATTAGCTTTTGAAAAATAATGTTTCTGAATCTGTGCTTGCTGTCTTCAAGCTCATGTAACTGTGGATAAAACAATACGCAATGTTTAATACTGCAACTGCCATTTATTTACCTCTTAATGCACCTTTTGTTGCTACATTGTCTTCCCTTATTTCACTTTATTTATTTGCTTGTATCCTGCCTTTATTATTACAAATAACTCAAAGCAGCCAATATACCCAACACAGCTTAGTTCTCCTATTTTTCCCACAGTAACAAAAGTGAGGTGGTTTGGGCTGAGAGAAAGTGACTGGCTCAAGACCACCCAGCCAGCTTTCATGGCTAAGGTGGGACTTGAACTCACTGACTCCTGTACTCTAGCCTGGTGCCTTAACCACTAGTCCAAATGTGGCTCCCCCATCCTATTGATGGGGGAAGGAATAGCAACAATCCCCAAGTATACTTAGCAAAACAGGCTGTGCCTAAGGCCACTGAGAGCTTCAAATAAAAATTATTTGTAAATTACAAAGTATATTGCTGATGGCACAACAATGCACTTTTTTTTGATAAACCAGCAGTTAAAATAAGTTACACTGGACAAACCAGCAGGTAATAAATTACGTAAGAAATATGACAGACCTTAGATGTAAAACATTCATAATGATATTGGGCTTTAATCCCAAGTAGATATATTTATACATCAGAAAAAAAGCACAGCTTTTAATCAGTATAAGTGATTATTATGACTTGGCAAACACAGACAGCAGTCAGATAAAAAGCATCAGATAGTATAGCCTTACTTAAAAATTTCCCTTCAATTTATAATGAAATGACAAGTCATAATCCTGACATAAATTAATCTTGTCCCCTGTTCTCTTCACCAAGGAATACTTCAATACGATGAGAATTTAAAGCCAGTAAGTATGAAGTAACAGTACATGAACTAGGATGTTCAGTCAAAACCCAAACAGAAACTGGTAACAAAGAATTCTCTCTTCAATTTTTTTTAACAAACTTTGGAAACTGTATACTTACTTTATAAGACCATCCTCCATGTAAATGTCAGCATGGAATGACTGGTCATCATTGACTATTCTTCCTCCTTTAATAAGAAGACGGTCACTCTGTGTGAAAGAAAAACAAAGAATATCTGTGTAGTAATTATACAATTAAAGTGCATGTCATTTTCTATCAATCTATCCCACTCCAGAAGGAATAGAGGGAGAAATACAAAATTCAAATATTGAGCTGAATTAAACCATGCCAAACTTGATTTTCTACGTTTTTAGAAAGGATAATTTTAAAAAGACAGGAACTTGAGCTCATCCAATGGTGGATTTGGGATGACCAATGGAGGAAAATGTAGCAAAAGTCAATCATACTGCCCTTAGAAATTCCAGCCATTAGAACTATTTCCTATCATTTTGCATTGCTTACAGTCAAACAAAACTTTTGAGGCATTTAAATTAACTTCATTTATAGTTTACACATGCCATTTAGAGGTTGGAACTCTGAGAAAAAAGATTAACAATAGAACAATTTGTAGAAAAGAAAAATGACTTATTTTATGGACAGAAGACTTCCATCAACACAGCATAAATATTCCCTGAAAAATATGCATGAAGGATGCTCACACATGGTTTTGAGCACTGTAATTTCCTTTCTTGTCTAAACCAGAGATGTCATATGTGTTGCTTCTGATATATTATGCATTTTGGTATGCATATTTTAATACATTATTTTAATTAAGAAATTAATAATAAATCCACTTTGAAAAATCCTCCCATATTCTTTCTATACTCTGTATGGGACATTGGGTTACAAACTGACATTCCACTTTCTTTGTCTGTCTGAAGTATTCTCATTGCTGTTTATGAACAATGTGTCTCATTGTGTTCCGACTGAAAATTCCTGTTAATTATTTTCTAACAACATTCTTTTTGAATGATGTGTCATCATTAGATTAGTACCACACTTTAAAAAGTTAATCAGCTTCAGAGAATGTGTTACAGAAGCAAAAATCTGAACAACTGAGACATTAAATCCTTTGCAGCAGTTATTGGTATTCGTTTGGCAATAATCTCACCACTGAGTCACAATCTTATCTAATGCCACAACAGCAGCACTATATATAGAAAAGAATATAATGTACGGTTCCTAAATGCATACTTGGACTGAAGGAGGAGCTCAGATTTGAGAAATTAAAAAGATGACTACCTCAGAACAATCAGGATAAGCCTCTGCATCTCAAACTACTGGTAGGCTTATGGCAGAGCAATGCCAAAGTAGTGATCTGTTTATTCAGAAAAGTTTTGATTTGTCTTTAGTTGACAAAATGATGGAAGGATGTTCTATCTTTACCAAATATGCATTCTATATTAAAGCATGGATATTTTGAAGGTTCAGATACTCAGCTTGACACCAGAAACATATCCCAACTACTCTATTCAGCCTGGCTCAAGTATTTTTATAGTATATTTTCTGAAATGCTTGACTTTCTAATCAGTTTGCTGATGGGTATTTCTGAACAAACATGTATGATTAAATTATAAGGCCCCCAAGTATGTGAAATAGTATATTTGAATGAAATTCTCCTCAGAAAAATATGCTACAAGACAGGGGCACTCGACCTTTTGGGCACCAGGGACAAGCTCTATGGAGGGTGTATTTTCCGCAGATCGGGAGAACATGGTTTTGAACACTGGATCTTGCACATGCGCGGATGGGGTTTCGCTTGCTTACATGGCCTAGTTACTGGCAGTACAGAGTTCAGTATTAGTCCGTGGCCCAGAGGTGGGGTGCCCCTGCTATAAGACATTGCTTTGTATGTATAAAAGTAGTATAGGATCTGACTAATCTGACTAGTGCCTATAAATCTTTCAATCACTTGAAAATATTTCATGAATATTTTGAAAAGATCCACATTATTTTTAATTAATAATAGTAAATGATGACCAAGCACCATTTCTCTGAAATGTACCTATTTGCAAGAATCAGTTCAACTGTCCCTTATTTTTTTCTTTAGCAAAGCATTCAAGGAATGCTGTGTGCACTGCAGAACTTCAGTGTTTACACTGAAAAGCCAAAATGACTATCTGGTAGAAAAGCCAATTCATTTTAGTGTGAAAATAACCAACCTGAATTTGTTTAGGAAAGTTAAATGATTGTGGTTTTTCTTTGCAATATCACAAGCATTCAGAATTCATAGTTAGAAAGCAATTAAGGTTGTTACCTGTAATTTGCAAGTAATTTAAGATGTAAAGCCTTCTACTAATCTATTATTTATATACTATTGTGAACTCAGGGCTGAATTATTGGGTAATAAATCAGAGGTCTATCATGCTTTGGTTTGTACAAAGAAGAGAAAAAATTTCGAGAGGAAAATGCTCCGTCACCCATCCAAAAAGGGTTTGAACAAACTTGATGACTACCAAATATTAACTCTCCAGAGAAGTTGGAGTTGGGGAAACCTCACTAGGTGATAATGAAATGTTATATCCTAAAGAGCCTGCAGCCTAGCTAAAACAAGAGCACTGCACATATAGCAATTCCTTTGGTGTGTCCCACATCCTGTCATTCTTAAAAGCCACATATCATTATACTATAGCCTGGTTTTTTTTTTAATTCATGGAAATTGCACTCAAGAAAATTGTGAAAATGTTTTGAAGTTTGGATTTGGAGGAGTGTGGATAGGCAAGAACAGGCTAATCCCTAGGAAGATTCAGTGGTGATACACCTGTTTCCAGAGATCTCCCAATAAATTTTCAGTGGGACTGCACTATCCCAGGTGGAACTTGTGTGCATTTGAGGGGAGGGGGGCTCCTGGATTTCTTGTTTTTGATCAACCAGCAAATAGTAGCTGCAGATACAACTTATGTGCCAATTATATCCATTATGGCCATTTACACAGTCAACTCAAGCCTTAATCACTTCTTGTATGTGCTCTACATGGGATTATAATGCAGTTGTGCAAAAAGTTTCATGTAGATCTTGTTTTGTCCATGTGACATTTGTGCTTCGCAAGTGACGCTGGTTACCAATGCAGTTCAATGTGATGGTTCTCATCTATATTCAAGGTCTCTTTGGAACCTGGAGACATATACAACTTTCGTTCTTGGATGTTTCTGCACATCTAGTGAGATTTGGAAAGTATGCTCTGGATCCCATCAGTGAAATAATCTTGAAGGACCCAGAGAGGTCCCTTGTCTGTAGCTGTACCAGCCTTTGGAACACTGAAGCCTGCATAGCCCTGGCACTATTGTCTTTTAGGAGAGCCTTGAAGACATTGATTGACATATGGCATAGAGACTTGTGATCTGACTTAGTCCCTGCTGTTTTGTACTATTGTTTCCTTGATATCAATGTATTAAAAGTTTTATTTTTGATGGCTATCTTTATGCCCTTTTGTGTTGTTGTTTTTTTACTGCGGATTACATTATTTCAAAGGCTCAGCTACAGAGGACCTCTCTGGGCTCCTTCAAGGTGGCATTATTTTACTGGTGGGATTTCAGAACACAACAAACTTGCCAAATTTTACTAGATGTGCAGAAAATCTCCAGTAAAGGTATCCAGTTATAAAGGGGAGGAAAGCAGGCTAAGCCAATGAAAGATGCAATACAATGTTATTAAGGACAGCTATGGGGAGGCAAGGAAAGGAAGGCACTAATAAAATCAGATGTTGGATTATCCAGTGGGATATGCCATGAATGAAAAATCAAGAACAGCTAAGGGGAGGCAAGAAAGGGATGGACGGAAAGGCATTAATATACTGTATATTGCACATCAACTATTGTAGCGATGAATGACAGGAGAACGAAGGATAAGTATTGGGAAGATTAGGGCTGGATAGACTGATGAGATATGCCATGCTGGGAGCTACTGGGGATATGCACCAGCTTTTCCCTATTCTCCCTCTAAAATCATTCCAATACAGGCCTTGACTTATAACTGTTCATTCAGTGACCATTTGAAATTACAATGGCATTGAACAAAGGGACTTACAATCCTTGCCCGAAGTGCCAACTTCCCAAAGTTGTAGAACCCAAGTGAACAAAATTTGGTGCTTGACAGTGTACCCACTCTTACATCATAGGAGCATTGCAACTACCCCTCCACCACTGTGGGCCAGGAGACCTTGGCCAGCTAGGTGCACTGGTGTGTGGAAACTTGCAGGGGACTGAAACTTGCATGTGGGCCTCCTCTCTTTCCTCCATCATGGCTTTTTCTTTACTTTGCCATGACAGGAAGTTTCAGCAGGCCTCTCAGGAGGGAGTGGAGAGGTAGGGAGAAGGCCAGGCCTCTCAGAATTTGTGGGGGAGGGGTAAAGAAGGCAAGATACATTAAACGTGGACATGAAAAATGCCCATTTGAACCCGGGTGCTGTATTTGATCGTGCAAGATGGCACTTGTTGACCTGAAAAGCGGACCCTACACCTGAAATGCTAAGATGGTCATGCTGATGACTGACAGCCCAAAATCATGGATGAACCCAGCAGCCATTCTGCTTGTAACAAAACGAAGGTCTATCTTCCTCTTTTGTACCATAAGCTTATCTTTTTGCTTGAGGAAAGCTATCTGAACCCTTTTGCCCTCTCAAGAAAGGAGTAAATGATAATAATATGAAGCAGCAATAAAAGCTATGGAGAGCATTTCCTTCTGTATTAAAATATGTAGTAATTTTTCAGGTTTCTTTTTCTAAAAAGTGAATAGGAGTTTATCACCATTAATAATTTTGAAAGCATAGTATGTACCAGATCAGGAATAAAGCATTCCCATTTTAGAAATATTGCAATTATAACCATAAAGAACTTGATTGTGAAATCAGACATATTTATCAATTGAATAAGGAAAAAAATAAGCCTCAAACTCATCCCAAACATTAGCTGTGAAGCAGAAAGAGAGGATATGTACAATGACACCATGTCTATTTTAAAATGGAATATTCATATATAGGAGGAACTGAAGAGGAAACCATATCACTTAGTGGAAAAGGATTAACTAAGGCGAGGACTTCAGCTTGCTTATTCAGAAGCTCTGGACTATCACAATAAACACACTGTTCTTTCTGCCAAAACTCATTTAAGCTTTCCCACACCCAACCACGTTTTCCTGCCAACCCTATGTC